AAATTGAATAGCTTTGTCATGTTTATTGGTGCTAATCGATACATGTGTATAATTGGAATCGTGCTGTCAAATCAACTGTATGAATTAATAATTTTTTTTATTTTTATAATTTATTAATTCATACAGTTGATTATATTTATTATTTTTTATTATAAAAATATTATTACGTAGTACTTTAAGCTAAAATCTTTATTCTTTAAAGTGAAATATTTTTTATTATAAAAAAAAATTATTACGCATTACTTTAAGCTACAATCTTTATTCTTTAAACTGGAATATTTTTATTATTTTTTATTTTTTATTATAAAAATGTAATTTTATTTAAGAATATTTAAGTAAATGAGTAGGGTTGGCAATGGGGCGGGCTCCCCAGCCTCCCGTCCCATTGGGTGTTTTCCCACCATGTTCCTTGTATAAGGTGGGATGAAATGGTTGTCTCATTTACATACTCATTTAATTTTTTCTTCATAATTTTTGATAATGCATTTTATTGTCCTCATTCATTCAAATAGGACAATAATATAATTATTACATTTTTAATTAATTTTTTTATTTTTAAAAGTTAAATTATTTGAATATATTTTGTAAACTAAATTTTGTTTTGTTTATCATATTTCTTAGATAATCTTAGTTGCCATCATCGATTAGAATTAATGAAATTTCGTGAAGTTTTTCTGTTTAAAATATTGAATTTTTAAAAAAGAAAAAAAAAATATAAATGGGACGAGGCCAATGTTACCCATACCCGCCTTAGGGTAAAATTCCTCGCGCTCGTAGCCGACCTGATTACCCAATTAAGTTGCTAATCCCCGCCCAGTTCGGGGTGGGGTCCAACAAATATTGGGTTTGACGAATATTTTGACCATCCTTATGAAAAAAATGTGTTGTACGTAATAAAATTAATATGATTAATCTTCTATAAATCTTTCATCGCCCAAAAGTTACTATGATTTGTTGTTAATTTCTCCGTTTCTAATAATTCCACTGTTATCTTTATTCAATTTCAATCCAATCTTTAAATAATCACAAATGTAGCTTTGATTAAAGTTTTGATCCAACAAATCGGGGCAACACAGAAAAGGTACTTCATTGCTTAGCGTCGATGGCGGAGCAACAGAAGAATGGGATAAGACGTTTTGTTGTAGTGCCCAAGTCACCATCCGCCCCCAATTATGCACTCTTTCGTTTCGTCGGGAAATGATCAGGTACGACAACTTCCTAAAGGAATCGCTGAAATGCCTAGCTTCGGTTCATCTTTATCGCCTTCGATGAGGATGAGGGAGCATTCGACAGTCTTTGCCTAGATGCTTCAAATTGGGGGAACAGGGTTTATGGAGAAGAATATGGGAATAGGGTTCGTGAAGAAATTTGGGGAAAGCTGTTGGGTGTAGGTCAATTTGGGGAGAATGGTTTCAGTTTTTAAAGAATTTCGGTTTTTAAGTATTATAATATTTTAATTTAAAATTTAACTTAGTTAATTTGAGTGATGTGACACTGCATTAGTGGCCACACAGGAAAACCGTCCTTCACGTGAACAAAAAAGCAATTAGATTTTTAAAAGTAATGGACGGAGGGTAAACGAGATAAGTTCAGTGAGCATTTTAAAGGATTTTCACAGTTAAGGGAGTAATCCATGATCAATGTTTAAGTTCAGTGATTTTTGAAACATCACTTTCTGTTCCCATGTTTATATAAGTTACTTTTTAGTTTTAATCATACAATTACAATTATTATTGACACATTTTGTGAACCAATAAAGGATATTATAATGAAGTCAAACACGAACAATATTTTCTACGGGTATAAAAACTTTAGCTAAGAAATTATATTTTATTATAAAATTATTATAAGAGAAATATAAACATTACTGTAACGGTGAAATTGTAGTCATGGTCCCAAAACTTTCAAAAATTCACACATGGAGTCCAAACGGATGGAAACCATTAGTTCATCCGTTAGTTGATCTAGAGTCAACATTTAGATAAAATTTTAAGTGGTAAAAAGGTAACTTTAGATTTTTATATTGAAGAATTAAACGAATTAAATTAAAAAGCCAAAAACAAAATGAAAAGAATTTGAAATTTTTTCTTCTTCCCTACCAACCTACCCCAACCCACCTCACTCGATGCCACCTCACCTCATAGAAGCCAAACCAACATCCACCCACCCAATTGCGCTAACCACCTCCATCCACCACTTCAAAATTAGTTGACGACCGTCATCTATCATACTGCAATCACCAACAAAGCCACTGCAAACAATTCACGTTGTTGCCCACCCAAACCAAAAGCCATAATCTACGCCATCGTACAACTCCACCATTTCAAGAATTTGAGCAATAAATCACATCTACCTACCATAGCCTCAAATGTCTTGTATAAGTCGCGATGGCTCAATCAAATTTGAGTATAGATTCCACAACTCCACCCTTTTTGAATAGTTGGAATAATATCACCGATTTTTTCTTTCAACACAAAATGGAGTGAATAACAAAAGAATCAATGGAATAATTATTAAGTAATCAATTTGAATAGTTGGAATAGGGATAGAGATTAAAGAGGCCCATAAATCAGCTGATGCAATTGAAATATAACCAGCTCAGCTATTGTAAAATCTTGGAATTGGCATCCAAAAAGAGGCAAATAATGCTGAAGTCTAGGTCGGGGTGGCGATGGGCATGGGCAGTAGTAGGCGGTGGGGTGAGTGGCAATGGTGGTTTCGATTCTTGGTTTTGGTTTTCAAGGGTGTGTCTGTGGGGTATATAGAGAAGATGAATCATATATTATTTTTAGGTTTTTTGTTTAAATATTTTTATAAGAAATATAACCCTTTAAAATTAATCAAAATTTGATCAAAATGTTAACTCTAGGTCAACTAATGGATGAACTAACGGTTTTAATCAATTTGAACTTTGGGAGCGAATTTTTTAAAAGTTTGATATTGTGGGTGATATAAATGAAATGTTTAGATCAAGTCTACAAGTGTCATGCCCGCAATTTTCCTTTATGGTAACAAAATTAGTTTACAGTAATATGTAAAATTAACGATAAACATTTTAAAACTTCAGATTCATTTTAAAAAATAAATTCCTTGATTTTAAAAATATACATGATTTTAAAAATTATAGACCCAGCGCTTCAATCATTGTCTTGACGGTGCAACCAAATAATATGATGACTTGACCAGGTGGATATTCGAATGGGCCTAATAGCTATGATGATAATGAAAATTAAAGTTTGTTTTTAAAAAGTAAACTGTATAAATTAATTTTTAGATTTCCCAAACATGAGATATATTCTTGGAGATATTCTAGGAAATTCGCGACATCCCATCACAGATTCTATTGGACGGGGAGAGAATTGAGGCATCAAATTGAATATATAAGCCGTAGGTCCTTGCAGCCACCCCTGCTACCATTCATTCTTCCACCTAAGCCACCGGTCATGCGTTTTCTTCTTTGGAAAAACGAACAAACTAGAACATCTTTCTTCCTCAGTGACAATGACCGGTTTAACCCTCGTATTACAATTTTTGGCATTATGACCTGGAAGATTTACATTATTGGCCGTCCTAGTAGTTCAATTACTAGTTGTAACTCCAACAAGAGATGAATATGATTCCATTTAGTTTAGGTTTCAAGAGAACCAAACTATGAACCAAGAATTTTTTTTTTTTTTAATAATGAAATCAACAATTTTTAATTTTTATTTATTTATTTTTTGAAGAATTGTTTGGTTTGATTTGATTTTGGTCCCATTACATAAATTTTCAAATATTAAATGCAAATTAAAATCCATCACCATAATCATAAGTTAGTAAAATAATCTTAAATTTAAAAAATAAATATCAAACATTCAACAAATTCAAATTATCAATCATCAAATGACATATTGTGTAACAAAATTCATTTACAAAAAGTCCAAATTAATAAAACATTGTTAATTTGAACATAAATTTTTACCCCTTACAAAAATATTGTCTAATAGCAATTATTCACTAATGTAGATGAATGAGCCACGGACAAAAGTAGAATTTTTTTGTACGATTCACTGATTTGTTAAAAACAAATACAAATAAAAAATTAATAAAAATTGAGTTTGATTCTTGGTTCTGATTTTTATTTTGGTAATTAGAACCATAACCATAGCGAAATAAATTTTTGTTCTAAAAATCAGGATAGTGAATTTTATTTAGATTCGAATTGAATCGCTCGATTCGGTTTGGTTCTAGTTTGGTCTGTTTTGATTAGGTCATTTCGTCCACCCTCAACTCCAACCTTTCTATAATAATTCATTAAATAAGCATTGTGAAAATATAATTCACTTTTACAAAACTAGACACCAAACAATATACATAAAAATAAAGGGAGCAATCAAAATAGTTGTTTAATCCCTAAAGTTGAAAAAATCCAAATCTATATCAAATCATCATTGTAGCCCTTATAGAAAGCGACCAATTATAAAAATATACTGAAAGATTGAAGACTAACTTACTACTCAGACCATATATTAGACACCAGCAGTGAAATTTTCTGTTCAAAGAGCGTCAGCACTATTTATTTGAAGTAAAGCCCCTACTTTTTTTTTTTTTTTTGAAAAAACATTGTTTTGAATAGTTTTTGGAGAACGTGTGTAGAATTTTTTTTTTGAGTTTAGTGCTTGTTTGGTAGAGATTTTGATAATTAAATTTTTGATTATTGGAGATAAAATAGATTCTATCTGTGAGAGAATAATTTAAAAATGACGGTTGACATAATGAAATAACAGTCAAAAATTTAATTTTAATTGGCTTTTAAACTATGGGCCGTTTTGATAGGGATTTTGAGAATTGATTTTTTGACCGTTAGAAAAAAGGTGGGGTCCACACGTGAGAGAATAAGTCAAAAATTACGGCTTGAATAGTAAAATAACGGTCAAAAAATCAATTTTTTTGGACAAAAAATCCCTACCAAACGGGGCCTATATCAAACAAGCTCTAAATGTATATCTGAAAATGAGTATATAAAAAAAAGAGTTTTCCAATAATGAGGGACAAACGGGGCTAAATGAGTATTAAAGTAATATTTCTGTGATCAATGGTCCAAGAGGAATTCAACCGGAGAGTAAATTCCGGTTTCCCTCTATAAATAGTGCCAAGAACTCTACCTTTCCTAGCCCTTTTCTCCGCCATCTCTGCCCTGCAATTTGCAGGGAGAGCCCTAAGCAAGAACACGCGCAGAATCTCTCCGAGAGATCATAAAGAGCCCCACATCTATCTTCATCGCTATGTCGAAAGATGAATCAATCAATGGAATCATCAACAGTGTAGAATTTCCAGCCGTTGCAGACGGCGGCATCACCACTGATGTCAATAAGAAGAATCCACCGCAGCCGGCGGTGAATGAAGGGAGAAAGAAGAAGCGTGGCGCTTTCAGCCTCCTCAAATCAGCAGTATTCATGCTTCGCAAAAGCCAGAACAAGAAATTTGCTAAATCGGATAAATCAAAAGTGGATTCTTCAAAGGGAAATTGGCAGAAGATCGTAGGATCAATCCGACCTTTGCATCTTCAAGAGGACAATTCACCACCACCTTCAAATCCATCCCTTTCCATCTCGACAAGCGTGGAAAGGTTTGACGGCCTAATCCGGCCTGCCTCCCCGTACTCCTCCGTGGCCTCCTCGTCCGCCTCCCCCATCTCCGGTGGTACTATGAGCCAATACGCTTCAGCAAACAACCTTCAAGAGCTCGATGAAGAAGCCGGCTATGATTCTGACAAAGTTTTTGACTCGCTGGCTGGAGACGAGATGATAGATGCCAAGGCGGAGGAATTCATTAAACAATTCTACCAGCAAATGCGGCATCAAAACTTGAAAAACTGAATCACATGCCGCCGCCATCAAAATTGAAAACAAGTGAAGAAGTTCAGTTAACCTAATATGAAGCGCCACGCCATGCATGTATACACAACTCCATCCCTGCATGCACGCACGTAGTATATTTAATGGCTCTTTACTATTTGTTCCCTACTTCACATTTCATTTTTTATGGTTCTATTGCTTTATGATAATGATCATCAGATCATCTGTGCATTTAGATTAGTTTTAAGGAGGGGATTCTATAAAATCAAAAGCAGAAAATTGGGTTTGATTAGACACTTTTATTTTGGAATAAATATGTTTATCTGCATGCATTACATCAATTACACGTTTTTGTATTTTTTGATCTAGAAGTTTTGATTAATAAAGATAACTTTTGATCAAACCAAATCTATTGTTTTTAATTTTCATTATGTGTCCCGACATAAATGCTAACATATTTTTACAAATTTTGTGCTACATAGATGGTGGTTTGATTTCTTTGCCCTGATAATTTTGCTCAAACAGAGGAAAAAAATGGACAAAGATAATTGAAGAAATCAAGGACAAAATTAAATTTTTGAAGCTTCAGCTTTGAGACTACAAGGTTTCCAATCCCAAAAGCAACGTCCCTTAATGCCAGAGCCGGCCCTGACCATTTGGAGGCCCTAAGCGAGCT